CACTTGGAAAGTCCAGGGAGGTGGCCAGCTTCAGGTCGGGCTGGATCCAGTTTCTCAAAAGACGTAAGTCAGAAATCTATGGTGCTTCTCTTCAGGGTTGATTTTTCAGGCTGGCTTCATTCTCAAGCAGCTGGGACCATTCTCGTGGGAGGGACCCGGCCTGGACGGGCTCCAGGCTTCTGTCCTCCCAGCGCCGCGCTCCAGGCAGAGAGAGCACACCTTGAGCCCATAGCTCCAGGGACAACCCGAGGAAGAGCGCTCCTCAGGTTAGCGTGGGCCACCTATGTGTGCTCGGAGTGGGGGAGTCAGGTTAGGTCGCTGAGACGGGGGACGGAATGTTTCCCAAAGGAAAGAGCAAGGAGGGGCTGTTCCAAGAAGGGGGAAGTGATGCTAACTGGGTAAAAACAACAGATGCCACTTCTTACTCTCCTAGACTGTGTTCTCTTGGGAAGAAGTGGAAATGTAATAGTTCCCACGTCAGGAGGTTTTGTAAAATGCAATTAGTTAACGTTTGGGTAGCAGATGCTCTTGGTGCTCCCCCCCCACCCCACCCCTACCATATATATACACGTGGCCCCCGACTCTAACGTCAGCCTTGGCACCTGCTTGCCTGAGGGACCTCCGCTGGCTACCAGACCCCGCCTTGTCCCTGCCTGCCACAGGTCCGCTGGGCTGGCGGGTTAGTAACACTTGGGAGCAGCCTTCAGCCCAGGAGTTGGAGGATCAATTTGCTGGCTTCTTCGCCCCTTGCATGGAGAACTTTGAAGTGTGTTCTCTACTGCTTCCCAGTGGTTTCCAAGGCGGATTCAGCTCTGGTTGCCATGGTAATGCTTCCTTCATTTCTTTATCCCACTTCCTTTCCTTCTTTACCTGTGTTTCCTAGGGTCTCCTCCCAAATTAACATCTTGCCCTCCAATCCTTGTCTCATGAGAGCCCAATCACTTTGGGTTTTCATGGACCAACATGAAAGCCATACGATCCTGTGCCAACATCACGCCTGGCCTATTAGAAGCATGAGTGCATGTTTATTGTTAGTACTGGCACAGTTACTCTGAGGTCCACTTGCTGCCTTAGTTCCTTAGTTGCTTTCTGCACCAGCGGATGCCTCCTCCTGGCCGCCCTGGTCCCTCTGCGCTTGTCGCAGGCCATCCTCCTCGTCTGCCATACCCGTCCTTCACCCTCTCCACTTCCCCTTGTCTCACTACTGCTTAACGTTAGTCCTTCCCCAGGGTGATTACAGTTTTGGTGAGAGGATGTAATGTTTTAAACAGTTACCAAGAACAATTGGTAACTAAGCAAACGGCCAGACCTAGTGACATTTGTTCAGACTGTAACCTTCCTGAAGGCAGGAATGAGGTGGTTCTCACTTGGCCTGGAATGAACACAGGCCAGTTGGTATGCGGAGGGCTTTTTAAAATAAGACAAATTAGCAGACTTTATTTTAATAAAGGAAAGTGACTGAATGAAATCAAACTTCCTCTGTACATTACATCTGCTTCCCATCTGCAGTTTTAGCCAAAACGATCATTTTTTATCCACATCCACAACAATTTGGCCTCTCGCATCTGCAGAGCAGAGCAGCCATTCACTAAATGATACCCTAGTGGTATGAGTGTGTTAATGCACCTCATTTATAAGCAAGGAAAACACCCCAGCATCAGCTGGACTACCAACCAATTACCAATGTGAAATTAATGCAAAACTTATTTTTTTTTGTTGGGGGGGGAGTGTTTCTGAATAAAGATGGATTTTCTCATTAATGGAATGATATCAATGCAACAAATCACACATTTCCAAGTGTGGCAAATCGTGACTTGGCAATAAGACAGGAATGCATGCAGGAGGAAGTTTGGTTTGCCTTGAGAAAACCAACCACAGTGGATTTGGGAATCAGGAGCTCTCCGTTTGGGGCTTTGATCTTCAGACTTTCGTATACTGCACAGCAAGGAGCTGGCGAGGTGGCCGGGGTGATCTTTTCTCAATGAGTTAGCAGCTCCCTCTGTTCCCCCAGGGGCTGATTGTCTCCATCTGTTCTGGGTCCCCGTGGGGGCAGAAGGGGGTGGCTTGTTTTCATGTTGTTGGGAACTAGCAAACAAACCTCCATGTTACCGCGCTAATGCCAGGTGAGCAAAGCGTCTGAGGAAGGATTCTCTCAGGACGGAAGGGCTGCCTGAGAGGAGCACGCTGGGCAAAGAGGAAGGCAGTTTATCAGAAGTCTATCCAGGTGGCTGTCTTTGGGCCTCCTCTGTTTAAAGAAGAGAAGGCTGGGGATTTGAGGGGAGCCAAATGTTTGTGGCTGGAGGCCAGGCTTCGTTTATACAAATGTTCCCCAGTTTGTTGCTCAGAGGGGATTCTTTCCACCTGCTCCTGCCTCTCCCTCGCTGGATGTCGTTGCTGGGGGCCCTGGGCCTGCTCAGGGGATCCATGTGTTTGGAAATGGACAGACTAGCTTTCAGGGGAAGAGGAGTCATGAGCCAGAAGTCTTTGGTTCAAGACCCAGCTCTGCCACTTGCTAGGATGGGGTCTCAGTCTTGTCATCTATAAAACAGAAATAACAATAGCTTCTTAACAGGGTCCCCTTGAAGAGCAGATGCGTCAGTGAACATGCAGACAATTTTTAAATGAACACATGTCATGAATGTATATTCATCACCGATTTGGGCAGCTAGAGAGTGAAACCACTGGTTCTGTTTTAGGGGGAGACATGGCATGACTATCAGAGGAGCGCAATGATGAACTCAGCTCTGGGTCAGCGAGGTGGGAGGGCCGCAAAGTCTGGATTCAATTCCTACTATTTTGTAGCTGGGTCACCCGAGGCCGGATGTTTACCATCTCTGAGCCTGTTTCCATATCTGTGAAATGGGGATAAAGAGCTCTGACCCTCCCAGGATGGTCCTGAGAAATAAATCCACTCATTTGACAAACAGGAAAGGAGACAGAGTTAACTCCCACCAGAGTGGGAGTGGGCCCTGAGCGGAAGCCAGGTGGCTGCAGGAACGGAGTGTCACTTGAGCTAAAATACTATATATAAAAGGCACTTTACACACTACATTCCCATAGTGCTTTGCATAAACATTATCCAAAGGACTTTATTTAGACAGGAAGCCTAAGACATCTCAGGTGTTGGGCCTAATTTTGTATCGACCAGCCCCTTTACAATGAATATTTATAGGAGTGGGACTGAAATGGGGGACCTCAAGAAGAATGTGACCCTCTTCCTCCCAGCCTGGGGGCACAGGGAACAATAGAAGGAACAATGGAGAAGCCCCTCCATTCAATACTGGCAAGATCAGCACTGACTTTGATAACAAAATAGAATTTCGGTGAGTCTAATACTTAAATATGATTGTATTTTTGAAGCCGGGTCAGTCAGCATTATTTGGGTCTGAAGTTAGTACATTAAATTTCATCTCTCAATGTTCTTTCCGACATCATTTTTTAGGAAAAAAAAATCATTTTCTTCTTTATTAAAATCTACCATGGCCAGAGTGGTTAGGGACTACTGATTTGAAGCATCATTCTTCAGAGGCCCAGAAAAGAGGATGCTGAATTATTATTTTTAAAAGATCATTTGACATATGTTTGGAAAACAAGTCAATCTCGGAAAAAGAAAAAAAAAGGTATTTAGTCCTCTATCTAATATATTTCCTGAATCTTTACTAGAAGCAATGCTGTTTGCAAGAAAACAGAAGCTGTCTGCTAGAGAGAGACTGTTCAGGTGTTTTATTCCTCACCCCCGAAACCAGGGGCCCCGGGGTTTGTGACATCATGGGGTTGCTGTGGAAATGTTTATTTCACAGAGGATGTCAGCCTCACGTGGGGAATTTACAAGAGGAAGCGTGAACTCTTAGAAAAACACACTTGGTCCGAATGAAAATAGACAACATTTGGAAAAGGATTTGGAAACAAAACAATTTAAATGGCCTATAATAGTTTGCTTCACGTTTATTTGTGAGGAATCAAATACTTGTAAGAGCATCTTACACATATATGCCAATTTTACAAAAAACTTTGCTTACCATAAATATCTGTGTAAAGAGCTGGGGAAGCGAGTAAGGAATGGCTTTTTTTTTTTTTTTTTTTGCAGAAAAAAAAAACCAACCTTCTAGTTACTCAAATTGAGAGACAGGTTGGTTTGGTCCTAATATACCATCTTGTGTGTGTAATTATGTTTATATTTTTGTAACACACAATAAACTTAATAGAATAGCTCGATGTAAAGAATTGTGAGTCAGGGGCCCGAGTTTCAGTGCAAGAGCTGCAACACCCGTTTCCGTTTTTAACCATTAAACCAACAGACGCCAGACTGGAGCCTTCCTTCCTGCTGGGGCAGTGTTGTCCCCTGAATCCACTTTCCAGCTCTCTCGGCCCAGCCCGGTTTGATGTAGCATTGACTTAGCTTAACTACAGCAACTGGCAAAAGGATGTGGGTTTGCGTTTGGGATGGGAGGCGGCGGCCACGGGTGTGTGTGTGCTTGCGTGTGCGCTAGCGTGGGGAACGAGGGGCACCGGGAAAGAAAATCTAGACGTAGCAAGTGCGTGAAAATATTTCTCCGTGGCTGGAAGAGGGGTCTCTCTGTACGGAAAAGCAGTTTTAGGAATTAAGAAAAAGAAAACAATCTTCAAAGAGGGTGTGAGGAAGGCTTGCCAGGAGGGCGCGGGGTGTAACGCGGTACCTGACCGTCTCCGCCGGCAGCTTTTTCCCTCTGTCCCAGCTGGCAGCGACCCACTCCCTACTCCCCCACCTGCCCGTGGCCGCACCCGCGCTCCCTGCCGTCCCGGGGCGCGCGCGGCCCAGCAGGAAGGGCTGCCTGCTGCCGGGGGGGCTGCAAAGGTCTAGCGGCGTGGGCTGATTTAGTGGCCGGGGCTGTAGTACAGGCTGTCCCCGGCAGCCGGCGGAGTCAGCGCGCCCACGTGACGGTCCTGGCTCTCCGGTGAGCTCCCCAAACAGACGCACACCCAGCCACACGCGCGCGCGCGCACACACACACACACGCACATACACACACGCACCCCCGCGCGCACACGCCCGCCGCTCTGCCTCTGCGCCCTCCGCCCAGGCTCATTCTCTCGCTTCCCCTGCGGTCTCTCGCTCTGCGCGCGCACACCACACACGCACACGCACACACGCGCGCACACACGCAGCCGGCACAGGCGGCGGCGGCTGCCCAAGTCAGGACGAACCTCTCTAGGTACCGTCTTGAGAAGGCGGCAGTGGCGGCGGCAGCCCGGGCATCCCTCCTCAGCCGGAGAGGGAGCTCCGCCGAGAGTTTCCGTTCCCTTCGCCGTTTCCTTCCCCCTCCTTTTCTTTATTTTCGAGAGAATTTCTTCGCGTATTGGTTTAATTTGATTTTGAATTTTTTTGGTTGCTTTTTTCTGTATGCTTTTTCTTCCCTTTCCTCATTTTATTTGCATCCAGAGCATGGCGGGCTGCGGGCTGTCGAAAGATACCTTCTTCTCTTCCTTCTTTTACAACTACGGCTCCTCCTGGGAAACCCCTTCCAACCAGGTAAGGGGTGGCTCGGTGCCGGGCGGCGTCGCGCCCCTTGCCCTCAGCCGCGCGCTCACTCGGCACTCAGTGGGGAGGCAGAGGCTCGGGAGGGGGTGGGGAGGCTGGGGGGGCCAAGTGGGTCGCACTGTCTGGGTCAGTGCCAACCGGCGACAGGAGGTGTCCCCTTCCGCCAGCACTAGCTCTCCAGTCCCCAGGGTCTGTCGCGTCCCTCTGGTGCCCAGTCTGCTACCGACATCCCCCCCCCCCCACTTCCCAGCCCAGCGGGAACCCAAGAAAGAAGCTGGAGCCGGCACGTTACCCCAAACAACTCCAGGCAAAACCGGGGAACTCGAGCGCAACCTTCCCCAAGTCGCCGCGGGCGCCGCGCCCCTGTGCGCCCCGCGCCTGCCCGCCCTCCAGTTGCACCGAGGGGCTGCGGAGCTGCGAGTCTCCCGCGACGACGTGCTCTTCCTTCTCCACTCCCCCTGGGCCCCGAGCCACCTCTTTCCCTAAAATGGCTGCAATCTCAAGTGGAGGCGTCCCCTGACCCCGCGGAGGGGGGAGGGCAGAGTGGATGCCCCGATGCCCATGACCCCGCGCCTCCCCCGGCGCGCACAAGCACCCCACAACCACACACACTTAACTTTGATGACTGTGCAATGCAGTGTGGCTGCATCGTGCCCTCAACGCTCCCCACCGCTGGCCTCTAGGTGTGCATGTCGGTGTGACGGGGGGCGGGGGCGCGGGGGGCAGATCCGAAAGGGGGGGCGTGGAAGCAGATGGGTGTTAGCGGGCCACTGGTAATCTGGAGAGGCAAGCGTGTGCTCAGGGTCTAGGGGTGCAAAAGCTATTCTGGGAGCCAGAGAGAGAAAGAGAGAGAGAGAGAGAGGAAAAATGCCTTTTAATTAAATAACTGTTGTAGTCTGCTGCCCCCACCGCATGTTTGGTGAAAGTCTACAGGCATCTGTCATTCCCAAACTGCACGGGGAAGTGGAGCTGGAGTCGAGGGAGGAGAGATGTGCGTGTGTGTGTGTGTGTGTGTGTGTACGCGTGCGCGCACCCGCACGCGCGCGTCCAGGCTGGGCAAAGTTGGGGCCGGAGGCGAGGTGAAGGAGCAACGGTGAAAGGCACAGCAACTCGGTGGGCAGTGTGGGGCGCTGGGAATTCCCGGGCTGGGGGAGCGCGCGCCCGGAGGAGAGCGGGCCGGTGGGCATGGGGGTTGTCGAGGAAAGAGCTCAGTTAGGCCCGGCTCGCCCAGACGCCGTGGCGTCTCTTCTTCCCAGCCCGCCCGCCGGCCTCAGCGGCCCGCTGGGCTGCTCGCCGCACTCGCCGGCCCGGGCGCGCTCCCTCCTCGGCCCGGGACTCAACGCGCTCCCGCGAGCTCTCCGCAAAAAATACAAACCCTCAGAGCAAAACAGCTGAAATATGTGCTCCGCCGCTTCCGCGTCGCCCCCAGTTTTCAAAAACAAAAACAAAAACAAAAAAAACAAAAAAACAAAAAAACCCCCAAAACAAAAAACTGAAATCGCCGAACTAGTAGTTGCCGGGTGAAGACCTGGCGTCTCCGGCGTGGCTCTCCAGAAAGCGCCGTGGCCATCCGAGTGAATAATACATAAGGGCGTCAAGGGAGCCTTGGAGAGGCTCCTGCCGCCGCGGCAGCAGCAGAGGGAGACGGCGGCGAGCTCCGGCCAGACCGCCCGGCCGCCGCCGCGGGTGGGGGTGTCTGGGCCGCTCCCAGGAAGTGTGCGGGTCGCTCTGGGGGCGCAGAGCTCCGGGTGGAGCGGGAGGGCGGCTTGGGCACGTGAAATGGGGGTTCTGGGCAAGGCAACAGGGGAATGGGAGGCCCCGCTGTGAGTAGAAACTTGCTGGAATGCCGGGGTGGTCGCGCCGGGGCTGGACTTGGGGGGGGGGGGCTTGGGGAGTTCTTCGGCTGCCCATGGCCCGCGCTGCGGCCTTTCTCCAGGCCACCCTGCCGGGTCTGGCGGCGCCCTGGCGCTCTCCACGCCTCCGCGTGCGGGCTACACATTGCCGAGAGCCAAAGACCCCTCGGGTTCTGCAAACTCCAGCTCTCCAGGAGTGGGCGTCCGCGCTGTGGTGTGTGTGTGTGTGTGTGTGTGTGTGTGTGTGTGTGTGTGCGCGCGCGCGCGTGATTGTCGATGAGTCAGAAACCTACCCCAGCTCGCCTTTAAGGATCGAGACCTGTAGGAAAGGCTTGAGCTGCGCACCCGGCACAAGCCCGGCGGGGGTTCAGGATTCCTAGGCAGCGCCGCGTCCCCTAGACCCCCAGTCCGGGAGTCAGATGCGTTAGGATAAGTTTCCCGGCGTGTGTCTCCGACCTGCACCTAGGGGCCGCGCAACTTGGGTACTTTCTTTTCCTCCAAAGGAATACAGAAAGGAGACTTGGGTGTAAGGAAGCACGCAGCGACACATACAGCTTTCCAGCGATGGGAAGATTGGCAACATCTTTAATGGGCTAGGAAACAGGTCGTTTAGAGCGTTTAAAAGCGAAGGGCTGCAGCCAGATTTTCCAAGACAGGCAATCACGCGCAAACTCCCTGGAAACCGAAGGAGGTGGGCGAGAGGGAGGGGTTCCGGGCAAGGCTGGAGTAAAGGAAGGGGAGAACCGGCGAAGGGGGGTGGAGGTGGGGGCGGCTTTTAAAAAGAGGAAAACTGTCTGTTTCTTTGGGTAAAGTTAGTGAAACTTGGTTCGGAAAAGCATTTTCCCCCAAAGGCAAGATCTTCTGGAAAGGGAGTCTCATGTTGCTAAGAAAATCGGAAAGGATGCCCGATAAAGCGGCGCCCGCTGCTCCGTGCAGGGTGATTAGCTCGCAGGCTGGTACTGGGTGGTGTGCTACTGTCAGTGCGGCGCGATCGTATGGTGGGGAGAGGAAGATCATTTCAAATATTGATTTCTCCTTCCAGTGGTGCGGTATGAACTTTAAGATAAAGTACAGAAACAAATGAGCGATGTACATCATTCAGAGGAAGGTGCCCCCAAGTGCTACTGAAGCTTCAATCCCTGGGGCTAAATGCAAGCAGGCAGTGCGCTTCACCAGAATTCGCGGTTTCCTGTGTAGCCACATCGCTGTTTCCAGGGACGAAGAACGTCTGTGCGTAAGGACCTAGGTTCTCCCTGATTTCCAGCTTGCGTTTTCCGCGTGCGAGCATGGGCAAGCGACCGAGAAACCTGCTCCTAACTGTTCCTACGGAGAGGAAAAAAAATAATAAAACAAGGGCAACACTTTACATCTCATCTTGGACTCTGGGCAAGGCTGCTAGAGAGAGGCCTGGGCCAAATTTGAAAGAGTGAGGCTTATTCATGATTTTTACCTGAATTGCTGCCAAAAAGCTTACAAATCCTCTGTTCCCTAAAAATAGCAATGCTCTTCAAATGTAATTTGTTTACTCCACCTCAATTAAAAATAAAACCCTCTTCCTAGTGTATAAAGTGCTTGTGAGGTAAGGGTTGCTTGTACTGAAAAAAAAATCAAGCTTTTTATTTCTAGATCAATATGATGTGCTCTCAACATCTAATACCATGTAAAAGGAGCCTTTTTATACAACATCAATAGCGGGCAGGCATGTCTCCTTAAGAAGCTCTTTTCCTGGAATCACAAGGCATTTTTGATTACTTTCATTTTCACAAGAAACTTGATTATGACACCTCCGGTTATAAACAAGCGAGCGAAAGAAATAATAAAGATGGGGGTTCTTTATAGAGAGACCTGGACATTTGGGAACAACTCGGGTATTTATTTATTCATTACTAAACACAAACACAAAAAACCAAACCCAGGCATGAATCATTGTTGACTGGGAGGTTTTTAGTTATTCTCTGACGTTTTATTATTAAAACTGCTGGTGGTGGGGATTGGGGTAATGTTTTGGGAGAGAGCCCAGTGTGTATTAGAGCCGAAACTGCATCTGTTACCATTTAAAAAAACTGGGAAATTCCATCTTATATCTGAGTAGATCATGTTGTAGATGCTTTGCACCCACTTTGCCAATGTGCAAAACATACCATAGTCAGAGGGTGTATGTGGGGGGGAAGCATCTGTTTAGGTGGAATTTATTTCTTCAATTAGAATGAAAACCCCAATTAAAATGTGTATGTGAAATGTCTCTGATTTGGCTCAGTGCAGCCGACAACAGACCATTCTGTAATTTACAGTTTCGCACCTAGGGATGGCAGTAGTGCGAGCTTCCAAACCCAGCTTTATCTTTTCGTGCTGTGCTTTTCAACCTGGGAGCCTCCTGGAGTTGCTGAAGCCTCGGTCTCCACCTCGAAGCGGACCACAGGGTGGTCGTGACTGCTTGCTGTTTGGACCTGGGTCACCTTATTAGTTGTCCCTGTGTAAGTTCAAATAGAAGCAGGCCAGGTCTGTATGATAGTGAGTCAATTGAAAGTGAAAAACGGAGCCAATTAGCTGACTGCTTGGGTGTCCGTGAGGCCAAACCTCTGACTCGATTCACCCGACTGGGCAGTTCTTTGTTTACAGGGGTGCTGAACCCGCATTCGCGAAAAAGACATTACCAACACATTGGACAGTGCTTTTTTTTTTTTTTTTTTACTTTTTCTCCTCTCCCCAAGCTCCTGCCACTCCACCAAATTCCCCAGACTGGAAGTATGAAATGGCATCCTTCTCAGGAGACACACTGTCTTTTCAGAGTAGGCGGAATCTGTGTTGAATCCAGCCCTGGACTTTCATTAGCCAGCACCTGTAATTCTTTGTACTCACTCCCTCTTTTCAAGCAGAATAGATGTTTGTGTTTTTCAGTGCAGAATCATTAAAGGATGTGGGTAAGTTGTTAAAAGCTTGTGCTGAGTCTTTTTTTTGGGGGGGGGGCAGGTGGTTGGCACTACTTTCATGAGTGTGGATGGCCAGAGCAGAATGTAGTCCACCAAGGAACATGTCTTTTCCATCCAGTCCAAGAAATATAAAGAATTTAGTATTTTTTCCTCTCTTTCCTGGGCATTTCATACTTCTTAAAGTGGTAACAGTGTTTGGTTCTGTGGAGATGAGCCACGATTTGGGAATGTCCTCCCTTTACAAAGTTATTAGAAAGCCAATATCGCAAAATTCAAGAAATAGAAACTGGGCATCTATACATTGTAAACATTTTTGTTTTCCTGAAGATGTATTACAAACTACAAAATAGTTTCAGGTACATTTCTATTTGCCTTAAATAATTTTTAGAAATCTACCTCTAAATCCAGCTCACCTAACCCCAATTTTAGCAATATTGGATTTCTCCTAGGGAGACAGAAATGTAAAAGAGACTTGTAATAACTTGAGTTTGCTGGGGATCGTGCAGTAAGGCTACCTTCCTTAAGGCACTGGCTTAAAAATATTGTTTGCTTCTCTTGATAAAGTTCAGCGAACCTAAAGCTTGGGGATCAAAGAGCGGCGACAAGGGCTACCATTTATAAGTGATGTTCCGAACACTCGACGTGTACTTGACCCATTTAATCTCTATGGCAACCTACGGGGTAGGCTGTTTTATTATTATTTCCATTTCATAGATGAAGAAAATAAGGCGAGGAGAGTTAAGTGCCTGGCCTAAGGTGTCTGTGCTGGCGAGGCGCAGGCCTGGGGAATCTCCAGGCCGCCAGCCCAGCACGGAGACATCCTGCCGCTGCAGGTGCCTTTCCAGCCAGTTTGGGATGGGGCCATTCATTCTCCAGCCTCATGAAGTAGTGAACATCTCCTTTGTTGGCCAACTTTGCTCATTTTTTCCTGGTTTTTAATATAATCAAATATAATTCTCTGGTGAATGAGATAAGTCTTCTCTTTTGGTGAGGCAATGGTAACTACTTGATGCTTTCTTTTCTTTTCTTTTCTTTTCTTTTCTTTTCTTTTCTTTTCTTTTCTTTTCTTTTCTTTTCTTTTCTTTTCTTGGTGATAGACTAAAGGTTTGAATTTACTATTCTTTTTGGTTTGAATGGTTGCTGCAGTTTGAGAGACAGACAGGGTCTTCTGATAGGCAGCTCCCAACATCAAATAATTATGATTTCTCCCTGACTGGTATGGCTCAGTGGGTTGGGTTTGTTCTGCAAGGCCAAAGGTCCCTGGTGTAATTCCCATTGAGGGCACAGGCCTGGGCTGTGGGTTCTCTTCCCACTCTGGGCACGAGTCGCCTGTGAGAAGCAACCAATAGATGTTTCTCTCTCACGTTGATGTTTCCCTCCCAGTCTTTCTCCCTCCCTTTCCTCCCTTCAGAGACATTTATTTATGTCTCTAAAAAATAAATAAATAAAATCTTTTTAAAAATTATGACTTTGTGGAAGGCTCATTCCAAGCTTACATATTATTAGTAAAATAACACTCAACTGAAGAAATATAATTTTAAGATTTATTAATAGAATAATTACACAGACAATCATTCAGATGCTTCAAAACCCTATCATATATATGTATATTTAGTGACGGGTAAATTCACTCTCATTTTATAAGCAAATCCCCCTCATTTTGGGTTTGCACTGCACGGTGGATATTTATGCTTGTGATTTAGTCCAAAAGGTACCTTTCGCATCGTGGCCATGTTACAACAGGTGTCTTCTGTACTGAATCACGCACCTCACATTTATGCCCATCACGCACTAATGCCTTGTAGTGGTTCACCCCTCACATCGCGATCGCCCAGACTGCAGGGGAGGGAAACATAAAGGTCAGTGGGTACAGCAGGACCGTCTCTAAGAAGAGGCAGAAGGGTCCCTCGCTGGCTTCACGTTCCTGTGGCCCCAGCGGAGATATGAAAGTGCAGGCTTTGCACTGGAATGTGAGCAGGGGGCACCTCTCTTCTTAGCAGTCGTCCTCATCCAGAAGGCAGAGCCCCTCGGGAGAGGCCATGGGAGACCAGCGCTCACACTTTGTCCGCGGGGTCGTGCATGTGGACCCCAGAGGGTGGGAAAGGACAGGACAGCAGAAAAGTGATTTGCTCCACGAGGCAGGGCGACTCTTTTGGTCCCTTCCGAGAATTCGCATTTTTACAGAGCAGTTACATTGCAACATTTCTTTCTTTTGGATTATATGTTCAAAAATAAAAAAGGTAGGGAGAAAGTGGCAACAGGTGATGTTACTGCCTTGGCGTTTGAAGATGGTTCCCTAAGGATGGCCTGGCGTGTAGAACAGGGCACCAGGCCCCACCTCCCCATATGTTTTGTTGACAGGAATTGATCTGGTTTGTTAAAGTTACTGGATTTCTGTTTGTCTGACACGGAGGGGGAGCTGGCCCTGGCAAGTGGGGCAGAGGGGCCCCCAAACTAGGAGAGGCTCGGGGTGGGGGAGGGGTTGATGGCTGAGGCGAAGGGACAATGGAGCCGAGGAAAAGCGGGTGTGCTGTCCAACACGCTTCCCCTCTTTAGCGTGCACTTCGGATTGTTTCACGAGCACGTCCTTCCTGTAGGTTTGAAATACGGAGCCGCAGGGAGTAGCTAAGAGGCAAAGTGCACGTCCGGCTCACGTCTGGGAAAAGACCTAACGCCTGGTCCTCTCTTGCCCGAGAGAGTACTAAAAAGTGTGTTAGTTGTATAACAATGAAACAAAACAAGCAAAAAAAAAAAAAGAAAAGACAAAGAAAAAGAAAACTCTCACCAAAAAGCTCTACCACGTTTTGCTCCAATTTTATTATTTCCAGTAGCAGTTTAGTCCCTAATGTTAACAATGAATGATTATGATTCCGTAGTTTCATTTACAGCATAAATTAGCATTTTGTTTTCTGTTACGGCTTTTGAATGAGGAATTATAATGTATAATTTGCTGAAAATAGATGTTATCATCTCTTAGGATGAGAACAACCACATAAACTTGAACAAATGATAAAAATGGAATCAATTACATTTCAAATGGAAGTAGTTTACAAACCTCCAAATACAAAGTGGCAGTAGTAGCTGGTTATTGTAACAAATAATTAGTTTTTTTTAAACAACATTTATTGAATTCCATTGACGATTTTGGTAATTGTTCACAGTTGACTGTGGCCCTCCCTCTTCCAAAATGAAATGTGGCACGGAATGACTGCATTTTATACCCTGCGCTGGGCCTCATTATTTAGTGTTGCAACCAGAATGTGCATTGATTTGCGTATGTAACCCTTTCGGAATAACAGGAAAGCATCAAATTGAATAAAACGATGTCACCAGTCCTAGTTGGTGGCTTAAGATAAACACCCAAGGGCTGATGATTTGGAATGTTTTTAGGTTCCAAAGAAAGAAAAGAAGCAAGTGGTCAAAATAGGTGTCAGCATATGTTGAAGGGGGGAACATTTTAAATGATTTAGTGGACGTTACATTTTTACTTCAGCAAGAATGAATTTCCCTTTGCCACTCCCCACACTCTTCTCCCTGTCACCCTTCCTGCTTGCGCTGTCTGCATTTCTGGGTCACTCTCAGCCCAGATAGAATGTAAGTGGACTTAGCAAGGGCTTTGTGGGGAGGCACCGCGCCTTCTGGTGTGGAAGCCCAGCCTGCCTGGCCTGTAGTGGACAGACCAGCAGATGTGTCAGGTAAATGGTTGAAGTTTCAGCAAACGACTTTCATAACATCGTATGCCTCACTTTATGTATGGTGCTTTATGCCATCTCTTAGGACGATGAGCATATTCTGCCATGTCAGTTTCGCAAATCGGAATTTGACTTGGAGAATAAATGAATCTGGCCTTCATTCAAGCGTCCCCAGGGAAGAACATGATTGGTTTACCAGAGGCTCTCTAGAGCTCTAAATTTTTAAAATGAAAAATTATAAAGTATATACTTAAATTAATAAATTCAGAAATGATAAAGCAGGGAAAAGTGGGGACCTGAGGTTTTTTAATTTTTTACAATTTTTTTTGGTAACTGCTACATGCTGAGTGGGTCATTCATTTTTGATTATTTTTAAAAGATTAATCTATTTCTTTAACGTTAATATGCAAAGAAATATGTTCAACATCACTTTATTTTTAGATCCCACAATTTGGTCTGAAACAAATCAGCAGTGCATTATAAACACACGAAAATGTACCTGATGACAGGAGTCAGGAGGAACAGATGCTGACAAAGATGCCTGGTGCGAAGTGGAGGGAGACGCAGGAGGGGATGGGAAACGTCTCTGGAAGTTGGGGGGCTTGGGAGGTGAGCGCGGCGGAGACTCGCGCCCATTGAGTGTGCGTGTGCGGTTCGGAGCAGAGGAGGCTCTACTTGCTCCCGCGTAACAGTAGGAATGGCGTCCATCCCTAGAAAGGCTGTAAGGAGTCAATGGACCCTCGGACTGAGAACACTTTTGGGATTGGTGCGGAAAGGGCTGAGTCAATGTTAGCTCCTATCAGTTGGTCCTCAAATATTTATAGAGTACCTGCTGACGACATGGCAGCCCAGCGGGGTGCCTGGCACATAGTAGATTCTCAGTAAATTATATTGCATCAGTGATAACAGAATCCACGCACTGAAGACTCACTCTAACGTTCTAGAAGGCATTCTACGTGCCTTATGTGGATTAACTCAGTTATCAGAAGACCCTCTGAGGTGGGTACTGTTATTAGTGTCACCATAACAAGTTACAAAGGAGGAAGTGGAGGTGCAGGGGGTGAAGAGA